CAAAATTTGGCCGAATTTGATGTGTCTTCTAGAAAGGTAGCTAGTGCTATAGCGCCAGTCTATGGCACTATAACACTTTTCTCATCCATCTATTGAGCTATGACGCTAATGGGTGGCGTTATAGCACCACACAAAAATCATCATTTTTGCTCCATTTTTTCCTCATTTTCTCTAAATATTCATTCCATGTACCTGAAACCAAAAACATGCAAAATACATTTCTTTAAAGTGCAATATCATTAAAAATGTATATAGTAAGCTTATAAAATAGGCACTAAAAACATGTTTCTTTGAGTTGGATCAACAGGTCATTCACTTACTTGAGCAAGGATGGTAGAATATAAGAAAAAACTTCAAGGAAAGCACGAGAAAGGAAATATAATAGAATGCAATTAAAAAAATAAATAAGATCAGTTGAAAAGGACTGGAAAATATAAAAAGAGTTAAAGCGGGGATCCACAGGCTTGGGTTGGTATTTGATAAAGCAAACCATCAATGCGTTAAGAAGAGCAAGCCGAGTGATTGGTCCAGTCCTTCACATTCTTTTTTCAATTACATCAACATATCATCCATCCATTAATTTGTAGGTCGCGCCAAATGCCAAAAAAAATTAAATTCGGCACTATTGATCCTAAGGTTGTGGAAAAGTTATATCATATGTTTGGTGGAATGGTGGCAATAGGTGATCATGCATTAGCCCCAAGCTAGAGAGTGTTTGCCGGTATAGCTAAGCATGTAGATGTCAAGCAAACTATTAATTTCAATGAATGCCCCAACCCTAACCTAAATGAAATTGAATCTACTAATTGATCGAAGCGTCCGAAGGATGAGAAAAATAAAAAATAGGTTGTAGTTTTTGTTAGAAACCAAATTTTACAGTTAGTTTCTTCATGCACCAATGCCCCTAGCACATCACAAACAACTTCTATTCAGTAATTCATGCGAACTCTGAAAGCAACTCCATAAATTTACGATAACATGTTGTTTTACTTGTTTTCCATGAGGTTTCTTGAAGATCCGACCTAGAATGAGCTCTTTATGTCAATGACCTCTAACTGTATGGTAAATTACTAATGTTATTTTCATGAAAATCGGGATTAATGAATTTTATTTTATTTGTTGGAGACTTTATATTTGATTTTTATGGTGAAATTATATGTGCTACTTTTAATATGCTTGTGGTTTATTTCTTAGATATTTTCTCTTAGATTTTTATGGGGACGTAAGTACTAGCACTACAACACTTCACTGCTTTTTGAACTTCTATTATCATTATTTTTAGTTTAATGCATTTTCTAGATAATTCAGTGTTAGTTATATTTGGTAGCTGCATAAATAATTAATAACGTCGATAAAGAAAAACGCAGAAGAACCACAACTATGTTATGTTTAATGTATGAGTATTACAAATTATATATTGTACGCTCTCCTTGCATGACATCCACATGCATAGGAGATAAGTGGGATGGAGAAATTCTTATGAGTCACTCGAGAAAATTTAACATAATGTTTCTTATGACATAGGTTGTATTCATTGATCTTTTAGAAGAACTGCACAGGAGTTATGGACTTCATGGCTTCTCCAAGATGTCTTCCACAGAGGTGTCGGTCATAACCCTCTACATTTAATCAAAGAATTAATCTATGAGAGGAGTCATGGAGCGAATCCAACATTCATTAGAAACAATCAGTAGATACTTTTCAATTGGGTTGAATGTTCTTATCAGTTTATCATAAAAAATTATCAACCAGAAGATCCCACATTCCAAAGGACCCTCATAGAGATTTCACAGTACCAACGTTAAATTTCATATTTTAAGTTAAATGCAAGTGTTCATTGTTTCTTGAATTTACTTGAGCACATTAATTCAAAAACATTTGATAATTGTTTTAAGATTGTATTGGACGATTTATGAAACACTTGTGAATGCACGCATGTCAAATAGTCAAAATATCGCATACATCGGGTGATGTGAATCGCCCACACAAAATGTAATGGCTATATATGACATTAACATGTGCTTCACTTTTGTTATGCCCAGATTGAAGGCAGTGCGCACGACAATCGCATATTCAAATTGGTCACCCTCAGGTTTACTTGAATAAGAATAAAAGAAATTGTGAGTTTAATGTAATATTAATGATTATATATATATATATATATA